AGAGGAGGCCAAAGCCTTGGAAGGAGGCCTTGGTCGAGACATCTGTGAAATAATAAACAGTAATTAGCAACCAGAAAGGAGATCAAGATAATCTTGATGACGATGTAAACAATTGTAGTTGTGAGCAAGTAAATTGCGGCGAGCTAGAATTTGGTGGTAATTAATGTATTGGGCTCTTTTGGTAGTGGGTCTAGCGGATTTAAGGCGGTGAATGCGATGGGTAAGTTGTTTAATGAGAGTTTTGAAATAGGTGATTCGGGATTTATGGTAAGCAATAAATGGTGTAGTCATCCCTTACCCCCCTGTAAAAATTCCCGGGTAAGAAAGTCAGGAAGGGAATTTTGACAACCAGGTATGTAGGTAATATCAAAATCAAAAACACTTAAAATAGCCTGCCAACGAGCAAAAATTTGTTTACTAGCAAGATTTTGAACATCTTTTTCTAAAATAAATTTAGCAGATTTGCAATCAACACGAAGTAAGAATTTTTGATTTAAAATATCATCTTGAAATTTTTGAATACATAAAACAGTAGATAAAATTTCTTTTTTAATAGTACTATAATTGAATTGTGCTTTATTCCAGACACCAGAATGAAAACGAACAATTTGTTCGGAGGATTGAGGAGTAAGTTGCTGGAGTAGAATGCCACCATAACCAATATCGAAGGCATCAGTTTGAATAATTTTGAATGAATTTTCAGTGGGAATACCAAGACAAGGAAGAGACTTAACATATTGTTTGACCTGTTTAACAATAGAAGTATGAACAGAAGACCAAGGAGGAGGATTATCTTTTAACCTATCAAATAGAGGTTGACAAGTTTTCCGAAGGTCTTTATAAAATTCAGCAATGTAATTGAGGGAACCTAAGAACCTTTGTAATTGAGTTTTATCAAGGATTTCATCAGGGAATTTGGAAGCAAATTCAATGGATCGACTAATGGGTAGGATAGTATTATGATGAATATCATAGCCTAAAAACCTGACTTTGGTTTGAAATAATTTAATTTTAGGGGCAGAAATAACAAGACCATGACTTTTAATTGTGTAGAAGAATGCAGTTAAATGTTTCCAATGTTCACTAATTGACCTTGAAAAGATTAAGATGTCATCAATGTAAACAATTGAAAAATGACTAAATGGGTTAAATATGTCATTCATAATATGTTGAAATTCACTAGGAGCATTTTTTAAACCAAATGGCATTACATTCCATTCATATTGACCAAAGGGTGTACTAAAGGCAGTTTTATACCTATCTTTCGGATGAATTTGAATTTGCCAAAAACCACTTTTTAAATCAAATTTACTGAAAATAACGGCTTGACTAAGTCGTTTAATTAAATCTTTTTTATTAGGAATAGGATACCGAATCCATTCTAATACAGCATTTAATGGTTTGTAATTGATAACTAACCGAGGAACACCTCGTTCTAATTCAGCATTTTTATTAACATAAAAAGCAGGGCAAGACTAAGGTGATTTACTCGGACTAATTATTCGATTTCGTAATAATTCATTAATTTCTTTTTTGCACATTTCAAGTAATTCATGATTCATTTGAATAGGTCGAGATTTAGTAGGAATTTGGGATTCATTAAAATTCTTAATATAGGGTAAGGTAACAACATGTTTTTTCCTATGCCAGAAAGCAGTAGGTAAAGTAGAACAAACAGTTGATTCAAGTTTTAATTTAAAATCATTGATTTGAGAAACAAGAATGGGATTAGTTAATTGTTGATCAATGCGTTTGTGGTTGATTTCTTCTTTGAGAAATTTTAAATGTCGAGTTAGGCGGTTAATTTGATGAGAAATAGAACAATCTTTTAATTGATTTAAGTGTAATAATTCAGGAGGAGATAAAAATTTAAAGGTAACAGGTTGTCCTAAAACATGGGTAGTTATTCCAGTACTAGATGTAGTAAATGGATATAATAGATAGATAAATGGAGAACCTAAAATAATTTTGTCAGTCATATTGGTGACTAAAACAAAAGAGGTTTTAAAACATACATTATCTTGGCAAACATGAACTTTGGGTAATTTGTATTTGATATGCATTTTAGTACCATTAGCAGAGGTTAATTTTTCTTGACATTTTTCATAATATGTAGTAGGAAGTAATCCTTCTTGTATACAATTTAAATCAGCACCAGTATCAATTAAAGCAATTAATTCTAATTCAAAATTATTAACAATTATTTTGATTTTGGAATACCACTTTTGAATGTAAAGTTTGTTGATTAAACTTAATCGTTTTTCTTCAGGATTGTTTGATTGCGATTGGTGTGATCGGTTATCAAATATTAAGTTATCCGGATGAGGATCAAATTCATGTTCAGATTCATGTGGGGATTCGTGCTCATTGGTTTGGAAATTGTCTAAACTTTTATCAAGTTTTAAAGTAATAATTTCATCTTCGAGTTTTTTATCTTTATGTTGTAATTCTTTGATTGTTTGCTTAATCTGATTGATCTCCTGTTGTAGATCTTGTAATG